AGCGGTCCCGGGGCTGCCCGTGGCCACCCCAGGGTCTCGGGGGAAGGTCCCCATCGGATGATGGGGGAGGAGAGGCGGGGGAGGGGGAGGCGTAGGAAACTTCCTTTGAGCGCTTCCCCTTCTTCCCATCTGAGGGTTCCCACGCTCCATTTGTGCGTTTGGATCAGACACAAAACCGAATATTAATCCTGGCAAAGCCTTGAAACTCACTTGAACACGAAAATCACACAGTGCATCTCTCGGACCGGGAATCCGGGACAATCCCACGAGGTGGTGGGGCGACTGCTGCGAAGCTCCGTAAACGGGAGGGTATAACATACCTTGTCCAGGACCTCCTGGGGTGGGGTCTTCTTCATCTAATGGGCTGCCGTTGATTAGGCTCTGGCCATGTGCCAGGCACGGAGCCAAGCGCTTTCTGCGTCTGACTTCATTTAATCCTCTCAGCACCTCCCAGCGCGCCGGGCCCATGAGTCTCTGAGGCTCAGAGAGGGAAAGGACTTGCTGGAAGTCACACAGCAATTCTAGTCGACAAAAGACCTTGGTCTCGCCTCCAAACCTGGGCTCTTAACCCCTTGCTCTCTACCTCTTCTGGGATGGCTGGGGCCTAGAGGGATATTCAAAGAAGGCAAAGCCAGTTGGCACCTAGGGGTTCCCGATCAGAGCCGGGGCAAGGCTGCCATGACGGCCGATGGCAAAGGAACATCGTGTCTGCTTTGGCATGTTGTGAAGCAGCCGCTGCTCATTAGAGGCTCCTGCTCCTCTAATCCCATCAACCAATTCCCTGTCAAGCCTTTATGGGGACAATCTGGATAAAATTAAACCCTCCATCTGCCTGGCCAGGGGCCTGGGGAGCTGCCACACCCTCCAGGTTGCTGGGGCAGACATGGCCCTCCCTGGACCTCATGTCAGCTCCCGCTCGTCCTCACTGCTAGGTGGGCCTCTTTTCCCTCCCCTCACCTGCTGCGAGGATTTGCTCATCCAAAAATTAATTGGAATTACAAGGGCACTACTGTTTGACCCAGCAATTTCTCCGCCAGGAATTTATCCCACAGAGATGCTTGCACTTGTGCCAAATGACACGTGAACAGGATGTGTCTTGCAGCATTTGTTTGTGAGCAAAAGGCAGCGCCACACAGCCAGTGAGCTGCAGAGCCACAGGCAGCCCATGTCCTTCACCGGTTCCTGCACAGCTTCTCCGTGTGTGGAAAATCCCCGAACGGTGGTACAAAGCGTGTTGATGATGGTCACCTCTGGTGAGAGGAGTTCACGGTGTGAAGTAGGAGGGGACTCAGTTTTTAAAAAAATATATATTTTATTGATTTTTTTTTACAGAGAGGAAGGAAGAGGGATAGAGAATTAGAAACATTAAAGAGAGAGAAACCTCAATCAGCTGCCTCCTGCACACCCCCTTCTGGGGATGTGCCCACAACCAAGGTACATGCCCTTGGCTGGAATCGAACCTGGGACCCTTCAGTCCGCAGGCCGATGCTCTATCCACTGAGCCAAACCAGTCAGGGCGGGGACTCACTTTTTACCGTGTTCTTTGGGTTATTTTGTTTTACCACGTGCCTACGTTAATTTTATATGAGCCCCAGACCCCAAAGTATGTGATTAGTAATCCTGGCCTCTATCCTGGACGTGGGCGCTATTTTCATCTTCATTTTACAGGGAGGAAGCGGAGCTCACCCAGGTGTTAAGCGGCCGCTGGCTAGGAACGGCCAAGGGGGGCTGACTCTCGAGCCAGCGTTCATGCCCCTGGTTTATATTAGCCTCCTGGGCTGGGAAGGGGCAGAGGAGAGAAAAGCGGTGAAAACATGGACTTTGGGGCCAGCTTGCCCGGGATCGAGTTTTGACTCAGCCACTCGCCAGCTGTGTGACCCGGGGTTAGTCACTGCCCCCCTCTGAACCCCAGTCTCCCCTCCAAGGGTTAAATGACTCATCTCCAAGGCAAATGCTTAGAACAGGGCCCGTCTCACCCTGAGTGCTCAATGGAAGTCAGGTGTTTTTAAAATATATATTTTTATTGATTTCTAGAGAGAGAAGAAGGGAGAGGGAGAGAGAAAGATTGATGTGAGAGGAAAACATTGACCAACTGCCTCCCACAGGCCCCCGGAATGTGCCCTGGCCCAGAATGGAACCGGCAGCCTTTTGGTGCACAGGACAATACCCAAGCCACTGACCCACACTGGCCAGGGCGAAACTGTAGGTATTGTTATAGCATTGTGCTAGCATTATCTTCCCCAGCTTCAAGCTCAGAGCGGGTCCTTCTCCCGGCTGGGGGTCCAGCTGCGGCTACTCATTTTCTCCCCGAGGGGCAAGGCCCGGCTGCCCTCGGCTCCAGCCCCCAGCGAAGCCCTTTGCGTCGGTTCTCCTGGGTTATCTCGGTGTGCTGGTGTGATCAGAACCCATCGCATCGCCAGAGCTGGAACAAAACGGGCAGAGCCGCAGGGCTGGTGTGGCCCAGATCCAGGGGGAGGCTGCGATGGGCGGCCTCCCCTTTGGGCTGTTCCAGCGCCTTCCCACCGCTCATGCTAGGAGGGAGAAGGGCTCAAAATAGCTGTTGCTTCCCCAGCACGGCGCCAGGCCAAGCACAGGAATAGGCATCTGGGGGTGGCCGCCTCAGCTTCCTCCAGGGCTCTGGGGGGGCGCTGGGAATAGCTAGCGGCCGGACTCCCCCCGGTGTGGCTGGAGGGGGGGTAGTGCAGCCGTCAATATACAGGGACTTACCCTTGATGGTCCAGCTCCTGGAAAGTGTTGGCCCAGCTGGGGCTACTGGCCAGCAGGTCACTGGCTCTGGCCAGATGCCAACCAGGGTCTGGGTTCGTAGACCCATTGGAAGTGCCTTCCAACACTGGCTCCTACAATCCTCTCTTGGCAGGTGAGGAAACTGAGGCCCAGAGAGAGGTGCATGTGCCTGAGATCACAAAGCCGCTAGAAGCCACACTTCCAGGGAGGGCAGGACTCGGGGCTTTGAGAGGCAGGAGAGGGAGGTGGGTACCGGGTTACAGGACTCGGACTGTCTGGGCTCGAATCCAGGCCCCACTGCTTATGATCTGCCTGCTCCCAGGCCTCAGTTTCACTCCTGTAAAATGGGCACAATAGCAGCACCCACCTCCTGCAGTTAGTCATGAGAGTGAATGAGTTAATACCTGAATGCTGTTATGGTTATTATTATTTTCTTATCAGACTCCTCACTCATTCATTCCCCAGGTATTGGCTGAGCACCTGCATGTGCCAGGCACAGAGCTGGCCTGGGTCAGGGTCGCTCACAGCGTGGCAAGCAGAGACATGGCAGGGAACCTGCCTCGTGCCAGCTACTGTGCTGAGCATGTTTATCTGCCTATCTAGCTTATTCCCTATGATGGCCTCTGGGGAGCCAGCATTGTGCCTATTTTACAGATGAGGGGAATGCGGCTCAGAGGGTCACACAGCCTGGAGGTAGCAGAGCCAGGATTTGAAACCCTGGCTGCCCTGCCGCACAGCCCATGCAAGTAACCAGCGCACGACACCCATTTTTCTGGGGAGATGTACAAGCCGCTCACTTGCTGCCGCCTAGGGGTTGGGTGGGAGTGTTGGGCACAGGGAGAAGGGCTCCACGGTCCCAGCCCTGACATTTATGACCCCAGCACCCCACACAGTCCCATGTCAGGTGTGAGGTGGTCCCTAGCCCATACTACTAAATTCCCACCTCCACTCCTCTGGGTTTCCTGGAGTACCTACTATGTGCCAGGCTTGTGCAAAGCTCTGAGAACTCAGAGAAGACTTCACCCCTGCCCTGAAATTGCTCACAGTGTGTTGGGAGAGACAGGTTTCTAAAGTGGTCAGAGCAATTTAGGGGCAGCTGCTGTGATGAGGGGAAGATGGGGGCAGGAGGGGTTCCCGGAGGAAGGATCTAACTCAGCTCAGAAGGTCAGGGAAGGCTTCCTGGAGGTGGTGATGGCTGTTGAGGCTTCCAGGAGAGAGAAGTGGCAGGAAAGCATGTTGCAGACGAGGGGATAGCTCGTGCTGAGAGGAAGTGCTGAGTTCCAGGAGCTGTGAGTAGGTGGGGCTAGAGGTGTGGGTGAGGAGTGCTGGGGCTGCAGAGATAGGCAGGGACAGGCCACTCAGGGCTTTTACAAATATATACATGTGTTTTTATTGATGATTTTAGAGAGGAAGGGGGAGGGAGAGAGAGAGAAACGCCAATGATGAGAATCGTTGATCAGCTGCCTCTGCACGCCCCCTAGTGGGGACTGAGCCCACAACCCCGGCATGTGTCCTGACCTGGATCAGAGGTCAATGCTTCACCACGGAACACGCCTGCGGGCCCGTGCAGGGTCCTGATGCCCACACCAAGGCTTGGGCACTATCTGGAAGGCGGAGAGAATGAGGGCAGGGCTAGAAGGTTCCGGGGAGGCTAAACCTCGGGAGGTTAGAGTGACGTGAGTGGGCTGTTGCCCGAAGGAGAAGGAGACTCGGCTGAGAGCACGGGAGAGAAACGGTGGCTCTGTGGAGGCAGAATGGGTCACGTGTTGTTGCGTAACAAATAACTCCAAACTTTGTGGCTTAAAACAGCGTTGTTGTCTTTTGTTTTTGTTAATCCTCACCTGAGAATATCTTCCCGTTGACTTTTTAGAGAGAAGGGAAGGGAGGGGAGAAGCAGAGAGAGAGAAACAGCGATGTGTCTCATCGATTGGTTGCCTCCCGCACATGCCCCGACCAGGCCCAGGACTGAGCCTGCAACCGAGGCACGTGGCTTGGCCAGAATCAAACCCGGAACCCGTCAGTCTGCAGGCCAACGCTCTGTCCACTGAGCCGAGCCGGCGAGGGCTGGAATCTGGACTCTAACGAAGGCCTATAGGGTCAGACCAGGTTGAAGAACATCCCAACTCCTCACGGGACTAGGACTGGACTCCTGGGGAGTCCCTGGGACGGTCCTGGAAGCATTCCCTGAGCCTCCTCTCTGCCTCCACGTCTGCTCTCCAGCATCTGACCTCTTCTGTCCCTCTGCTCTGGGTAGAACTGGCCTCCTGGCTTTTCTCCCAACATCTCAAGCTCCTACCTGCCCCAGGGCCTTTGCACTCAGTGCTCCCTCCACCTGGAACCTTTTGCTTCCCGAACTCCCCATGGCGGGCTGACATCTTGTGTGTCTCAGTTCAGATGTCACCTTCTGTAGAGTGCTCTTCCCTGAACAAACTGCCCTACTTACTGCGCTTCCCACGAGCAGCACAGTGAGCCAGATGGCCTGGTCTGGGCCTCAGTTCTGCTGCTTCCTAACTGGGTAGCACCGGGCAAGTCATTTAACCCTCTGTGCCAGGTTCCTCAGCTGTGAAATGGGGGTGATGCTAATCACCCCGTCACGGGGTTGGAGTAAGGATGAAATTATTGAACATCTGTTAACGATGCTTGGCCCAGAGTAGATGCTCTATAAATATTTGCTGTTATTCACATAGCACGCCTCCCATTCTGAAACTACCCAGGTTGCTGGTTTGTTTACTTGGTTTTTCCATCTCCCCAGTTAGAATGTGAGCCCCCTGAAGATGGTGGTTTTGTCTCTGTTGTTCACTGCTGTGTCCCCTGTCCCAGCACAGTGCCTGGCCCACAGTATAAAACATCGGTTAAGTAATCAAATGGCCAGGCTGGTGTGGCTTGGTGGTTAAGCATCATCCTATGACCCAGATCGACGGCTTGATTCCTGGGTTATGAGCTTGATCCCCAGTAGGCAGTGTGCTGGAGGCAGCCGTCCATGATTCTCTCTCATTATTGATGTTTCTCTCTCTCTCTC